TTTCAAAATGACTCCGTCTTCTCTTTGCTCGGCTCTGAGCACAGATGGTGTCATCACACTCACCTCAAATCCGCGACTCTGACCCCAGACGACTCCGTCGTCTCCGGTGATCAAGGCGTCCCGCACTGACCCTGTGGCGATCAGCTGTTTGTTGACGTAATCCAGCCACGACATAGTTTCAAGAAACGCGCCGACCGCTCGGTCACGTGCCTGGCATGAAGAAGCGCCAGGTAGCGGCAGGCCTCTGGAGGAAGCCTATATATAAGCCTATATATAAGCCTATATGGCGTTGGCGATGGCTGAGGCTCTGTTTCTTGTTTCTTTCTGTTGTGATGGAATGGTTATTGCTTACGTGCTTAGCTGATCAGCAGGATATCTTTGAACAGAGTGGAGCAAGCGAAGAACACGCAGCGTGTACGCTTGTGTTTAATGCAGGGGTAATGCCCGGGAATTATCAAACGTAATGTATTTTGTTTATGGCACGTAATCCGCGTGATGTTATGACAACTTGACCTCCATTATATCAGTCGGTTTGACCGCTTTAACCTCGGTCATGCACACCGCGCATTTCAGTGGTAACTTCCTTTTTGCCTGCTGTCATGCGTGTTGGACGAGATTGTGTGTGTCGCAGAACCGTTGGATTATTGACTGGACATTTTGCATTTTGCTTGTTGTAGTGCCAGCTCGTGGTCGTTATAGGCCGAACACTGAATCAGATCGGCTTATTTTATTTTCCTGTCCTTTCAACACACCCTTCGTACCGTTCGCACCACTCCCAAGAAAACGCGACTTAATTCTGTGGACACTTCGCTCCTATCCTAGCAACGTCAAACCCAACGCCCCACCGCTCGCCTCGCTCCCTCCACTAGTAGTTTTTGCTCTTGAGGAAGTCGGAGAACTTCTCCACCACGGCTGCGCACTCGCCGTGCTGCACGGGGTCCGCGTACAGCGCCACCACGACCGTCTTCGACGTCATGGAGGCGTGCAGACCCACCTTGGCCTTCTTGGCGCGGATGCACTTGTTGGCCACGCCCGACAGGAATATGTACTTGGTGCCTGATGGGGGAGAGGGGGGAGTTACCGCGGAGGTGTTCGAACAAACGGGTGTTAAGAGGTGAAAAAGTCTGCATCAAATTTATCCCCCGCCCACTTTTTTGGAAACTTAACGCATATTGCGTCTATTGTGGTGACATCTGTATGTTAACTTTAAAGTGGACTTGGCAATCGCCCTTTCTTTCGGCAGTCCCACCACGCTTCACTTGACCGCGGGGCAGAGTGATGAACTTAAGTGGTGAATCTTCGAGGTGAGCCGTTGAAGATAAAGCGGCGGTATGAAGTGGAAGATGCGGCGATCGTAGGTCAAGTGAAGTCTGCGTCAAACGCAAGTCATGTTAAGAATCAGTAAAAGTATGCATCAAATGCAAGCCATGTTAAGAAGTAATAGAAGTTTGCGTCAAGTGCAAGTGATGTTGAGAAGCTGTAAGAGTCTGCGTCAAATTTAAGGCAGTTTTAAGACAATATGGGGATCCTTTTCCACGAAATCTAGGAAATCTGCCGTTAAATCACCCACGGCACGCCCTTCACCGTGACTGCGAGGCCCACCAAGAGTCCACACGAACTACTTACATCTAAGGCGTTTCTGACCGCCGCAAGCGTATGCACCTAGCAGGCGTACGCACGCCGGGCTTCCTTCACCTGAAAAGTGTACTCCTCCCGCGGTGAGGCCCCCGCCGCCGTCTTTGATGCCCTTGATGATGGGGAGCAGCTCCTGTTTGGTGGCCTGAAACGTCAGCACACGCCTGGGGTCACGGCAGGTCGTGGTGCTGAGATGCCTCTCGTTCGCCAACGCGGAACTCGAAACGACGGTCCGGCCCTCGGCCTGGAGTAAGCAGCGATCTTTTGTAACGGGCGTTAAAGGCGCGTAGTCGGCAGCGATTTGAAAATCCTTTTTTAAGGAGACGCGACGCACGTTGCTACGTCACTTTATGAACCGCCATCTTCATTTAAGTCTCTGAACCGACTGCATTGGCTATAATAGTGCTCAGGGGCCATGGCGCAACCAGGATTCGAACCTGGGCTCCCACACGGGAGTCCGGCGCGCCAACCACTCAGCCATTACGCCCCCTAAGCTGAAAGTCGCGCGCTTCGCGTGAAAGTGCGCTTCGCGTGAAATTTCACGTTCTGTTTGAAGTGCGAGAAGTTACGTTTGCCGGGCGAAAAGCTGTGCCGCCATTGTACCGATCATATTTATGCGCTACTGGTCGCTTGATCATTAGAAATTTGTGACGGGCTCGTTGAGAACCGTGAGAAATCCCAACGCCAGCATTCCACACGCGAAGTTCGCATATTACTCAACGAACCGACCCGTGGTATGTCACATCCAGTGTTCACCACGGGGTACGTCGGAAGCCCCGCCCAGATTGCTTCAAGTCGCCCACGGATCGCACAGTACATCCCGTTTTCTGGCCGTGCGGTTTGAAAGCCGTGGCCCGCCTTACTCTTTGCGGCCACGCGGCGCCCGCTCAGGCCGGCCACGCGGCAGAATCGGGGCTGCAACGTCCGCCGGCTTGGTATTCGCCGGAAGTCCACGGCGCGTTCCGCTGCGGTTTGCTGTCGCCGTCAGCTGTCGCGCGGGCCCACTGTTTGCGCGTGGGATGTGGGGCGAACGGATCACATTTGCCGCGAGGCGGAGCCCGGCGAAAACAGCCGGGCGGACCTGTGTCCGGCTCCGCCGCGGCGGGATCGATGCCGTCTCGAAGTCGCAACACGTGGGGCCGGCGCCGACGCCGACTCCGACTCCGACTCTGACTCTGACTCTGACTCCGACTCCGACTCTCACTCCGACTTCCACTCTGACTCCCACTCTGACTCCGACTCCGAAGAGCAGGCAGCGGCGTTGGAACGCCGGCCTCCCGCCACTCACAACGCGTGCCGTATCGCAGGCGGCGTTACACAACCCATTACGGTACGAGTGCCGCGGCGAGGCCGTCATAGATAGTCGCTACCTGTGGCGCTGTCGGCAGGGGGTGATAACAGCAGCAGGGGGAGCGTGGTTCATGCAGAGTCACACACACACACACACACGCGCACACACACACACACACACACACACACACACACCACACACACACACACACACACACACACACACACACACACACACACACACACACACACACACACACACACACACCACACACAACACACACACACACACACACACACACACACACACACACACACACACACACACACACACACACACACACACACACACACACACACACACACACACACACACACACCACACACACACACACACACACACACACACACACAACACCACACACACCACACACACACACACACACACACACCACACACACACACACACACACACACACACACACACACACACACACACACACACACACACACACAACACACACACACAACACACCCTCTCCCTCTCCCTCTCCCTCTCCCTCTCCCTCTCCCTCTCCCTCTCCCTCTCCCTCCCTTCCTCTCTGTCCGCCTCCGGGGGCTGTGTTCACTAGTTGAGGCATAAAGGCCGGTTTGGCATGGCCCGGTCGGTAGTCGCTGACCCCTGGACTGGGCGTATCATCTCACCCCGATGGCGGTCTCACTGTGAGATCTGCATTCTAGCCTGATACAGCGCTTCTCACTTCATGCAGTATTAAGGTTCAGCGGAGCCCCAGCGAAGACTGGTTCCACCTCTGGCGGCGGCCGCACTAACCTTGAGATTCTTGCTCTGGGCCCAGATGGCGCCATCGACGCCGGCGATCAGTGCATCCCGCACCATGTTGGTGGAGATGAGCTGCTTGCTGATGTAGTCCTGCCAGGACATGGCGGAGCCACTGCCGTCTTTCCTTCGGATTTCCCTCGTTAGGTGACCGCCGTTGGCGGCGGTTTCTCACGTTTCTCACGTTTCTCGTTTCTCTTCTCGCGTTTCTGACGCGGCAGGCTCCGAGACTGGCTGCCTCGCTGCTATCTCTCGAGGCGGGGACACACTGCCCCAGAGCCGGAGAATTCCACGGTCGTGAGGCCGAAGGAGGGGCGTTTCTGGCGACAGGTCTCTCACAGGTCACGACCTGTGAGACGGCTGCGCCGTCCCGACCTCCACTCTGCCTCCCGGCGTCCGCTCGGTTTCTGAGAGACGCGGCGGCGCGCAATCTCACGTGAAGACGACTGCGGCGTCTGGTGGCCGTGCCCGTCTCTCCGCAGAGCTGGGTCGATCTCACAGGAACGGCCGGGGTGTCTGGGCGCGGTAGAGGACCAGGTGCGGTGCGGTGGACCTCCTGGCGCGATCGAGAAGCGCTAGGCCGTGCGGCACTGCGTACCCTACTTACGAACTTTCGACGCGCCGCTGTGGCTGCTGGAATCAAGGCCGTGTAACCAGGTCTGGGATTGTTTTGTCAGGGAGTTTTTTGCTGGCTGATTTTGCTGCGCGTGGTAACGTTCGTGGGATTCCTCCGTTGATTGATTTTCACGGCGTTCTGTTTTCAGTGCGCGCCTCGGTCAATAGGTTCTCCTTAGTCCTCGACATGTTGCGCGCTATACGCCTTGCACTCTAGCGGCATACTGCGCTAAGCTTTGTGAGTTAGCGCACTATGCTGCCAAAGTGACCAAGCTCCTCCGCCCCCAGTCCTCTTCCCACGTCCAGCTTGACGTGGGAAGATCTGCTGGACCCTGTCTGCCATCACTGGACTCTGACTACGTGGTGGTGACAGTGGCGGTAGACAACGTGGTGGTGGTGGACACCATGTGGTGGTTTCCCGTGGGGCGATAATCGGAATGGTGCCTGGCAGGCAACCCCAGTCAGTTCAGCCGCCCCGCCTCTTCCATCGCCGGAAGACTTTGCGCCTAGCGGACGTTGTCGCTCCGGTTGTCGACGAATCCGACCTCCAAACCGGACGTGTCGCCCGTGTTTCCGGGTCGAAGAGGATGTGACCTGACCCGGTGTTCGTGTTCTGTTGCAGGGAAGAGAACATCCGCCGCGTAGCCGAGGTGGCAAAGCTGTTCGCAGATAGCGGGGTGGTGGCCCTCTGCAGCTTCGTCTCGCCGTACGCCAAGGTCAGTCTCCTCAGCGATGTGACGCGAAGTTCATGCTCTGACTCGTCTCCTTGCTGTGACGAGGGTGGTCCCTTCACTTTCGTTTTCAGCTATCAACATCAGCCCCTCGGGCAAACCCCATCCGTTACTGTGTCGTCACTGCACAGGTGTTTCCACCACAAATGTTTCTTCACTTTCGTCACCGCGACTGTGGCGTCGTTGACAATGTTAGCTTGTGGCTACTTCGTCTCCCCTTTCCCAAGACTGCTTTCTTCAACTTCGGGCATTCAGGTCCGTCTTCCATGCCGCCAAGACTGCTTTTTCAGCCTCGTCGTGCTTGATGCCCTTATTTTGTCCTTGCAGATCCGTTGGGTGTTTGGGCTGCGAGCTGTCGCGTGTGTGTAGTTACTACTTATGCACTGAACAATTTCTGTTAAACATTTAATTAGTTATCCACGGAACGAGGAGCCGATGACAAATGTTGTGTTGGCACATCATTGCGCTTGCCTCATGCTCTCAACGATTAAGTTTTATGTGAAGTGCTTGACGCTGCATTACGGGAAGGCGACGTGACGTTTCTCCTAACGTCACAAACAGCCAGTGACGTATGCTTTTTCAAGGTGACGTGGTATGTTTGTGTGACGTCACATGACCTGACGGGGCGCATGCGTGTGTGATCGGACGTCTGGAAAGTGGCGTATGCGCCGCATCACAACACTTCGAGATGGCGCGTGTGACATGGATGCACCGATGACCTGTCCACCTGTGACGTCACAGGACCGTGACGTGGCGCGGAAGCTGCACGCCGACTCGAATCTGCCGTTCTACGAGTGTTTCGTCGACACGCCGCTGGCAGTGTGCGAGACGAGGGACGTCAAGGGCCTCTACAACAAGGCGCGCCAGGGGCTGATCAAAGGTGCGCCGCCGGTGTGTCTACTGGCCTCTTACACTGACCTGTTATACTGTGTCTACTGACCTGCTACACTGCGTCCGCTGACCCGTTCCGCTGTGTCTACTGACCTGTTATACTGTGTCTACTGACCTGTCCCGCTGTGTCTACTGACCTGTTATACTGTGTCTACTGAACCGTTCTGCTGTGTCCGCTGACCTGTTCCGCTGTGTCTACTGACCTGCTCCGCTGTGTCTACTGACCCGTTCTGCTGTGTCTACCGACCTGTTCCGCTGTGTCTAATGGCCCGTTCTGCTGTGTCCGCTGACCTGTTCCGCTGTCTACTGACCTGCTCCGCTGTGTCTACTGACCTGTTCCGCTGCGTCTACTGACCTGTTCCACTGCGTCTACCGACCTGTTCCGCTGTGTCTACCGAGCTGTTCCGCTGCGTCTACTGACCTGCTCCGCTGTGCCCACTGACCTGGTCCGCTGTGTCCACTAACCTGTTCCGCCATGTCTACTGACCTGCTCCGCTGTGTCCACTGACCTGCTCCACTATGTCCACTGACCTGCTCCGCTGTGCCTACTGACTTGCTCCGCTGTGCCTACTGACCTGTTCCGCTGCGTCCTTTGCTCTGTTACGCCGTGTCTACTGACCTGTTCCGCTGTGTCTACCGACCTGTTCCTCTGCATCTACTGACCTGTTTCGCTGTTTCCACTGGTCTGTTCCGTTGTGTCTACTGACCTGCTCTGCTGCGTCTACTGACCTGTGTTGGTTTGTCGGCAGGTTTCACCGGAATTGATGCGCCCTACGAACGCCCTTCGAAGCCCGATATTACCCTGTACACGGACAAGTGCAGCGTTCAGGACTGCGTGGACCAGATGGTGGAACTGCTCACCTCGCATGTAAGAGCCGTTCTTACCTGCTTACATCGCACGCAAGAGCGAGACGTGGTTCCTGTTGCTCACATTGCGTAACAGCGGTGATTGACACACGTGGAGTCTTAGAGTTACGGGCTGAGAAATATTTCAACGCCATTGCAATGGTCGGCGAACACACGTAAAGCTGCGTTCTCATCTTGCACCTGAACCTGCTCACTGGTGCTCACCAAACGTGACTGCCTGGCACTGGTACTCCCATAATGCGCATAAGTCGCCCGCCACCATTTGCCACAGACGGAAAACCGCTCTTCGGATACGTTGATCCTGTGCTGATTCTCACCTTACACTGATGTGGGTGTAAAATCGTGCCGATTCTCACCTCACACTGATATGGGTGTGGCCTCGTGCCGGTTTCCACCTTACACTGGTATGGGTGTAACTTCTTGCTGATTCTCACCTTACACTGATATGGCTGTAACATCTTGCCGGTCCTCACCTTACACTGATAAGGGCGTTACTTCTTGTCGATTCTCACCTTACACTGATGTGGCTGTAACCTCTTGTCGATTCTCACCGTACACTGATATGGCTGTAACCTCTTGCCGATTCTTACACTGATATGGCTGTAACCTCTTGCCGATTCTTACACTGATCTGGCTGTAACCTCTTGCCGATTCTCACCTTACACTGATATGGCTGTAGCCTCTTGTGGGTTCTCACCTTACATTGATATGGGTGTAACCTCTTGCCGATTCTCACCGTACACTGATGTGGTTGTAGCCTCTTGCCGATTCTCACCTTCCACTGATATGGAAGTAACCTCGTGCTGATTCTCACCTTACGCTGATGTGGGTGCATCCTCGTGCTGATTCTTACCTTACGCTGATGTGGGTGTAACCTCGTGCTGATTCTCACTTTGCACTGATAAGAGTGACAGCACTTTGACTGATGGTGCTGGTATTGTGGTTAAAGCGTCTGCGTTGACCATTGCGCGCCTAGGAAATCAGAGCTACTGTGTTCGATTTCCCGCGATGTCCGCCGTTCCTGCCAGGGTGTGACGCAGCGATGCCATATAGTCTCAGCAGCTGAGACACTCAAGGCGATGTAGCTGTTCTCACGTGAGGTTTCGCATCGACTGAGGCTAAGCTTGCGTTGAGAAAGCGCTGTCAATATCTGTTGTTTGACTCACGCGTCGGACAGTCAAACTGGGTTGCCCTTCAGGTTATTCGTAAGTATATTATTACGTTTTACGCATGCCCACGATGGCGAAGAGTGAGTCGTGGTTGCTCTATTAACGGTGGACGACTATACCCAGTGTGGTTGGTGGTCGTTCGTGCTCATTTTTTGTTCGCCGTCGTCTCTCAATAACCCTGGGACTCTCTTTTTAAGTATCGCTCTTCACATAAACTATGATAGCTGGGCTCTCTAAATACAAATGCAGCTGCTAAGGTCATTAGCATTGTCACAGCATGGCGGAAACCCGCACGACGAAAGTTTCCCGAGGCCGGAATCGAACCCAGACCTCCCTCTAGAACCGGCTGCCCAAACCGCCGGGCCACGCGCCCCCCACGCGGTCCGGCCGCCAGCGTGCCCGGGGTTACCATACCCGTCCGTCGCGCCCTCCGGCGGTCACGTGGCCGTTCCCGCGCGGGCAGAGGTCGGTCGAGGTCAGCGGGGTCAGAGGTCGCCCAGCCGCGGACGATCAGACGGACCGGCTCCACCTGAAAGAACGCATTCAGCGCGACGGAGCCTGACACCATGCAGCCGGGCGCGGCCGCGCCCGACGCCGACTCGGTGTCAGCTGACACCGCGTGTCATCGGGAGCCTCGTGACTCTCCCTCGCGGTCGTGGTCGTCACCGGGCGGCCGCCGCCGGCAGGGTATCGTGCCGCGCTCGGCGAGCCAGGCGATCGGCGAGCTCTTCGTGCCGGCGGAGGAGCTGGCGGCGGCGCGCGAGGAGGCGGCCGCCCTGCCCGCCGTCGACATCTCCACAGTGGACCTGCAGTGGGTAGGTGGAGCGCTTGAGTGTGGAGAGGTGGAGCGGTGGAGTGTGGAGAGGTGGAGCGGTGGAGTGTGGAGCGGTGGAGTGTGGAGAGGTGGAGTGTCGGTGGGTGAAGCAATGGAAGGTGGATCGTTGCAGCGGTGGGACGTGGAACTGTGGAATGGCGGAGTGTGGATCGATGGGAGGGATGTGGAGCGTTGGAGCACTGGAACGTGGAGCGGTGGAACAGTGGGATGTGATTGGTGGAGGTTGCCGTCTCCAGTTGAGTCCGTGCTCCTCGCCCAGATCACCGTGCGGATCACGTGCTCTGCGTGAGCCAAATGATTTTACTCTAGAGCTAAGGCTGGTTTGAGGTTCAGTTTGATTGCTGTGAAAATCCAGCGATGACATGGTTTCAGCACCGCCTGAATATGGGCTCCCCGTTGTAGCTTTCTGGGATTGGTGTGAGAGCAGTGCACCAGTGGTTGTCTGATCATGAGATTCCCCGATCAACAGACCCTTCCGTTATTAGTGCGTACTATTAACCCAACCCGGCATCACCGTGGCTGGCCGGCGATTGTGACGTCACGGCTGTTTGGTGTGACCTCACGGCTTTCCGATTGTGAAGTCACGGCTGACGGTGGTGACTGTCACGGCTGGCGGTGTGACCTCACGTGTTTCGATGTGACGTCACGGCTGACTATGTGACACCCAAGCTTACAGTGTGACGTCACGGCCGACTGTTGGCTGTTGCAGGTGCAGGTGCTGGGGAGGGCTGGGCACCCCCCGCTCACCGGCTTCATGAGGGAGCGTGAGTTCCTGCAGGTACGTGGACCGTGCAGGGCCGACGGGTCTCGCCTCCGCACGCCGCACATGATGAATGAACCCGTCTGTGTGGGGCCGACACGGTCTTGCAGTGCGCCGCGGAGGCCCTGTGATAACGCACCAAACTGAGGGATATGACGTGTGCAGCGCATGTAGCCTGTAACTGCTCGGTCGAGACGGCGGTTAGCGGCGGCCAATTCAGCAGAGACGTGGACAGAATGAAGTGACGGGCTTTGTTGCTCATGAAAAGATGATTTCGCCTGATGCGTATTTACTCAGAAATCGGTTAAGTGTGTATAAGAATGACTGTTCTGAGTTTTGCTTGAAAGGAAATTATCTTCAGTTGTTGAATAAAAAGATGTCATTTCAGTTGTCCTATCAAAACGAGTGGCAGCAGGATGTGGGGGGTAGCAATAATGTTTTCGTGGTTTGCCTTGCACATGTGTACCTCTTTATGACCGAACGCGTTCTTCAAAACCATTTGACAACGATAATCGGCTGCTGCCAAGTCCACCGCTCCGCAGAGGGCACGTTCTGCCGACGCCCCCCTCCCCCCGCACCCCCCCACCGGCGCCTCAAACCCGCACCCCGCACCCGAACCCCGTACCGTACTCCGCACCCCCACCACACCTGCTCCCGTACTCTCTGCTCCCGTACCCACTCTGCACTTCGCCCCCCCCCCCATCCCACATCCCTCCGCATCCTGCACCCAGCACCCACCCCACTCCTGCACCCCGTACCCCGCACGCTGTTCTGTGTGACGCGACCCCGCCCTGCTGCCGGCAGTGTCAACACTTCGCGCAGCATGCTGGACGACGGCGTGACGAACCAGTCGGTGCCGATCGTGCTGCCCGTGCAGACGGCCGACAAGGAGCGGCTGGCCGCGCTGCCCGCCTTCTGCCTCAGGTCAGGCCGGGTCACAGGGTCACGGAGGGTTTACGTGACGTCACTGACGGTGTGGATTACGGAGGGTCCACGAGTCTGGTGTGACTGGAGTTCTCGTCGTGTGTCGGGCTGCTGTAGAGGTCAGGTCATGGCGGTGGCGGGTCAGGTCAGCGGGCCGTCGTGCTGTCGTGCTGTGTCGGGTCACTGAAGCCGCGTGGTTTCGGCCAGGTTAGTGCAGACCGGTCACAATAATCGGTCAGTTTGAGTCAATGCACCGTCTTATAATGCCAGACGCTAATTGTCCCAGCGTGTGCAGTACACATGCGCACACTTAATGCTACAGGGGCGTCTGCCATTTTCAGCTACTTTTTGGGTGAACACCCTTCGCGTTGTTGCCAGTTGTCATTGCTTCATTTGCACGGCATCATTCACGGCATCGCCATCGTTGCACGGCACCCCACCCCTTGCTGTAACGTCTCCCCTTCGCCCCGCCTCCTGTAAGGTCTCCCTCCGCTCCCGCCCCTTGAAGCGTCTACCTTCCGTTCTCGCCCTCTATAACGTGTACCCTCCGCAGGTACGACGGCCGTCCGGTGGCCATCGTGAGGAAGCCCGAGTTCTTCGAGCACAGGAAGGAGGAGCGCTGCGGCAGACAGTGGGGCACCACCAACCCCGGCCACCCCTATGTCAAGGTAGGCGGCGGCGGCCGGTGATGTCGCCCTATCAAGCTGGCTTGGCTCGTGGCCAATGAGGTGGCCGACTATCACGCTACATTAGATTACGTTGGATTATGTATTTGTGACATAAGACATTTATTTGTCCACATGGATTATGGGTCGTTCATCTCTACGTCGAGGGTGTAGTTTCGTTCCCTCTCGTTTTGTCGGAATGGGACCTTCCAACTCGCAATGTGCAGTTCCCATTGGATCTCTATGTTGGCCTTTGTAACGACTCGGTCATTTCGGCTGCTTCACT